AGGATTTTGTTTTTTTGATACAGGGTTTCTCTGTATAACAATAGCCCTGGCAGTCCCTTTGTATACCAAGCTGACCTCAGACTCATCTACCTGTCTCTGATTCCTAAATGCAGGGATTGAAGGTTGGGAGTTTCTTTTATCATTGTTTTATTTTTAAAACAATGTCTTCTCATTTTACATAGCAATCCCAGTTCTCACTCCCTCTTCTCCTCCTGCTACCCACTCCTTCCCACCATACTACCCCCTATCCACTCCTCAGAGTGGGTCAAGCTTCCCATGGGGAGTCAAGGAACTCTGGGACCTTACTGTTAGGCAATACCAAGGCCCTCCCCACTGTGTCTAGGCTGAGCAAGTATACCTGCAAAGGTAATGGGCTCCCAGAAGCCTGTCCAAGCACTAGGGATAAGTCTTGTTCCCACTGTCAATGGTCCCATAGTCTTCCCAAGCCATACTACTGCCACCCAAAGGGCCTGGTTTGGTCCTATGCAAGTTCCCCAGCTGTCAGTCCAGAGTCAGTGAGTTCCCACTAGCCCAGGTCAGCTGCTTCTGTGGATATCTTCTAACTGGTCTTGATACCTTTGCTCATATTATTATTATTTCTCCCTCTCTTCAAGTGCACTCTGGGAGCTTGGCCCAGTACTTAGGTATGTATCTCTGAATCTGCTTCCATCATTTGCTGGATTAATGTTCTATGATGATGATTAAGATAGTCATCAATATGAATACAGAGGAAGGACAGTTCAAGCACCCTCTCCACTGATGCTTAGGGTATTAGCTGGGGTCATCCTTGTAGGTTCCTGGGAATTTCCCTAGTGCTAAGATTCTCCATATCCCCATAATGGCTCCCTCAATCAAGATATCTCTTTCCTTGCATGTTCTCTCTCTCCTTCCCCTATCTGAACCATACCCTTCCCTCTTATTCTCCTCACCCCTCCATGCTGGTTGGAAGCTTTTTAATGACTACCTGTATTTTGCTAGTGAATATAAATCTTACATTCTTTAAGTTGTGTATATCAAGAAATTTACTTTTAGGTTTTCCATTTTAGTAGAATATAGAGTTTTTAAAGCCATCTTTATTATTTGAATTTTCTCAGTCTATTGTAATATCCCCCTTCTTACTTCTAATTAAATTCATTTAGATTTTCTCCCTCCTTCTTTTGATTAATATGGCTAATGGTTTGTCAACTTCATTGCTCTTCTCTATTTTTTGTTTATTTTTTTTTATTGATTTCAATTCTGAGCTTCGTTTTTTTTTTTTTTTTCTGTCTACTCTTTTGAGTATTATTTCTTCTTGTTTTCTAGGAATTTCTCATTTTTTTTCATTTTTTTTCTTTTAATGTAGGCACTTAGTATTATAGAGGTATCTCTTAGAACTGTTTTTATTTTGTCATATAGGTTTTTGTATGTTACATTTTTGTTTTTATTCAATTTGAGATGTTTTTAACTTACTTATGAATTTTTGTTTTGACCCAATTTTCATCCAGTAGTTCAGCTTTTATCTGTTGTAATCAGATAGAGTATTATTGTCATATATATAACAATATATAAATATATTTCACAGATATATTATAAAACATATTTCCTCAAATATATATTAAGGCTTGCTATGTGTCCTAATATGTGGTCAATTTTGGACAAAGTTCCTTGAGCTGCTGAGAAGAAAGTATATTCTTTAGTGTTTTTGTAGATGTCTGTTAGGTACATTTGATTTATGACATTTAACGCCACTGTTTCTAAGTTTAGCTTTTGTCTGCTTCTTCTGTCTATTGGTGAGGGTTGGTATGAACCCACCCACTATAACTGTGTGAGTGTCCAATATGTAGGTTTTGCTGTAGTAGCATTTCTTTTATGAACTTGGATGATCTTTTGTTTGGTGCATAAATGCTTGGAAATGTAATCTCCTCTTTGTATGTTTTCTTTTTAGTGAGTATGTGTCTTCTCTTATCTCCTTATATCTTCTGATAAGTTTTGCTTTGAAGGTTTGTTTGTTTGTTTGTTTGTTTGTTTTGGCCAGGTATTAATATGCCTGTGCCTGTTTACTTCTTGGATCCAATTGTTGGTCCACCTTTTGAACTTGAATTGATGTCCATCTTTTATTGTAAGGCGTTTTTCTTGAATGCAACAGAGAAATGGATCCTGTTTCATAATTCAGTCTGTTAGTCTATGTTTTTTCATTGGGGGGGGGGAATTGGAAACATTTATATTGAGAGCTATTAATGACAAGTGTTTATCAATTCATGTTATTTTGTTATTGCTGTGTGGGTGACCCCTGCCCTCTCTTGACTAACTGTTCTTAGATTTATTTATTCCTTGTGTACTAGCCTTTTCTCAAGGTTAAAGTTTTCCCTGTAGTACTTTCTGTAGACCTAGATTAATGGACAGAAATTGCTTTTTACTTTAAAATTTCACTTTACATGGGAGTTCTAACTCCCAACCCACCTCCCTCCCCTAGTTTCCTCCCCCCACCCAACCCACCCATCCTTCACTCCTCCCAAATATTAATGGTTCCCATGAGGAATCAACAGATCCTGGCACATAATTTCTGGTTTTCTTGCTAACTGGCATTTATGGTCTCTTAAAGGTTGTAATCCATTTGTCCAGGATCTTTCTGGGTTTCACAGTCTCTACTGAAAAGCCACACATTCTTCTAATGGGCCTGTATGTTTATGTGACTTGGTCTTTTTCCCTCACAGCTTTTTAGTATCTTTTGTTTGTTATGTATATTTAGTATTTTGGTTATTCTGTATTGTGCATATCATGTTTTCTTATTCTATTTCTGTGTACCTATTTTACCTCTTTCCTTAACTTGAACAATTTTTCTTTTCTGATTTTGTGAAAAGTATTTTCAGTGTCTTTGATTTGTGTTTCTACTGTATCCCTATTAGTCACAGGTTTGGTTTTTTCATACTACCCCAAATTTTATGCATATTTTGTGCCTGTGCTTTCTTTATATTTAATGTTTTCTATAACTGAGCTATCATTTCTTCTACGTTGTTTTCAAGATCTAAAATTCTGTTGTTGAGGCTGATCACTGAGGTTTTAATTAGACATCTGGAATTTTTCATTTCCAGTTTTATTTCAGTTTGTATTTTCTAATTTCATGATTTAAATTGTATTCATTGTTTTATTTCAACTGTTTGTGTTTTCATAATCTTCATTTATTCATATCTTCTTTAATGTACTTGAATATATTCATAATTACTATTTTGATGGCCTTGCTTGTGTTTCAGCTAAATTGCTTTCCTTAGGTCTTACCCAATAGGATTTGTTGGATTCTCATGGAAGAACAGTGTCTTGGTTATTCATGTGTGTGTGTTTGTACTAGGATCTAAGGTCTGGAGCTATGATGTTTGAATTTGTTTTATTTTTCTGGTGTGATGTCTTGTCTTTATTGGATGGGACTTCTGTTCTTCATTGCTCTTGAGTCCTAACCAAGTAAGGTGTCTGTTGGGTTTCAGAATCACAATCATGTGTGGTAGCTGTGGGGTTCCAGGCAGAGGGCTGTTGTGCTTGAAGGCAACCTCAGAGGAGTGAAGATGGACTAAAAGGAAACACTGAAAGGGGCCACCAGGTTGGGCAACTAGGATCCTGGGTCTGTACCAGGAGTTGAGTCCCACGCGGATTAGGATGTTGGGGGATGTTGGGGGAGGTTGGGTCTTAAGCATACAAGCTCCAGCAGGACTAAGAGTAAGTCTAGTATGATTGGAATTGAAGATAGAAAGGAGGATAAAGGACCCACTTGAGTCCCAGCCTAGTGTGGTCACTGTGAGTCCTTGATAGAGAAAAATTCTATGTGTTGTTGAAGCCATCAGAGTAGGGATGGGCTATAAGGAAATACCATTTACAGGCCATCAGGAGTATCAATTTTTTCATAACTGAATTCTAATTATGAGTGTAACTGCAAACATAATATTCTGAGCAGAAACCTCATATCGCATTTCATTTTGCTGCAGCTGGTATGTCTGAAGATTCATCCCCTGCTGAGCATTAGATTTTGGTTAGCAGGAGACTAAAATGCATAAAGAGTTTATGCTAGTGGGGTTTAATAACTTGTCAATAGTTGTTCCAATTTTGAAATTAGGCAGGTAAGATAAAAAGACAGAGTTCTCACAGCAAGTAAGGACAATATTTGGGCTTCACTCTTTGTTTATCATTCAATGTAAAAGAATTATTTAGAGTGTATGAGCTTAGGGGCATAAACTGATTGTAACTAGGACTTTCAGGCACCTAAAGCTATTCACGTAGAGTAGGAGTTTAGCTAGGTTCATAATTATAATGGCTGATAAGCAGTAATTCTATTCATCTTTTGTTCCAAATAAATTCATTCTAATATTCCCAAGTACATGTTCATGAAATTGTTCAAAGGTATTTTAGTTAATGCACTTTTAAAATCTGCGTACTAGGTTTATTAAATAGTCCCCAAATGATAGACTAGAGAGTAAAGCACGATGGTATTATTATTGTCCCAAATACCAGTATTTATGTGCCTTCTATAACCCATTAGCTGCTATATTTCTTAATTATAAGAAGCATTACCTAACTTTAGCCCTTTGCCTTTTTATATAATTGAGAAATTATTTAAAATCACATTAATTTTTTTTTCTCCCGCGGGGGAACACAAAGAAGCTGTAGGCATCTTTCAGAGTTTTGTGTGAAGATTGCATTTCTATCTCTATTTTTCTGAGCTGGTCACACTTCTGTCCATGTGTATATGGTGATCGAGGATATTCCTGTTTCTTTCAATTTTGTATTTCTGTGTTAAAAAGTAATTAAATTAAATTTTGAAGTAAAAAAAAGAAATTATTTAAAAGTCCTAGAAATCAAGTTTTTATATTTTGGGAGTAAAATACATTAATTAACAGAAATCTAATTTCAGATTTCCTCATATCAATGATGAAATCACTGAATTCAGGAGCAAAGCAAAGTGAAACTTTTAAAATGCAATTAAATCAAGTACAAGTCCCTGACACATTAATGCCATTTATGATTTCTCAAAACAGCAAAAGTCACCATCAGAGTCATTTATTGGTCGTGAGAAGAGGTCAAATTCGCAATCATACGTTGGACGACCAATTCAGCTCGACAAAATTTTGATGTCTAAGGTGAAGGTGCCACACACTTTTGTCATCCACTCCTACACACGGCCCACGGTATGCCAGTTCTGCAAAAAGCTTCTCAAGGGCCTCTTCCGTCAGGGCTTGCAGTGCAAAGGTGAGGCCCACATGGGTACCAGGCACTGGCTGCCGGACACCCATGAAGCCTTGAATGAATCAACTTTCTTTTGAAGCTACTATATATTAGTGTCATGTTTTCTCTATCTGATGAATTTCTGTTCTTTTTTTTTTTTTTTTTTTTTTTTTTGTCTGTTTTAAAATCATCGTGATTAGATTGCAGATTCAACTGTCACAAACGCTGTGCACCAAAAGTACCAAACAACTGCTTGGGTGAAGTGACCATCAATGGAGGTAGTGGACATCTTCATAGTCATGTTCTGTGTTGCATACCAATCACAGATGGTAGTATTGTAGTATTTATGATTTGTCAGGGTTTTTCTCTTTCATTTTTCAGTTGAGATATTTGTAACTCAGCCACAAATAAATAAAGGCTTGGGTTCCTCTCTGGATTCCAGATCATTAACTTTTGATGTAGTAGTAGTAGTAGTAGTAATAGTAGTAGTAGTAGTAGTAATACATCTTCATGCAGTACAAAATTCATATCATTTATTACCTACCCTTATTTCGTTCCCTAAGCCTAGTTAGTTCAGAAATATAGACACTGTTGGAATACCTACAAACCAGTGCTCTCTCTCAATTTTCCTGCATTGCTTCCTCAAAGCATTGAAGCAGAAGTTAACTTCATTCCCCACCCACTGATGAAGATCAAGATCAGAGACTGGACTAGAGGCCAACAACTACCAATGTCTAGCCTTTGCAGGCTACTGCTTCCATTATATTCATGAGTGTGAACATGAATCTCAAATAGGAAGAAGACCTTAACTGTCAGAAAGTCTTTGTCTTCCTATATTAGGAAACATCTTCTTAAGAACAATCCAACAACATGAATTAACATTGTTACACTCAAATGTTCTTAGAGTTGTCTCTGTCTGTATGTGACTTAGGATCCCAGGCTCCCCTTCCCCAAAAACCATGAACTATTTCTGTTTAATCTTCACACCAATAGCTTTCCAGATCCTCTGGTTATAGAAGCTAAAATGCAAACACATATTTGTGTTAGGAAAAGCTGAAGAACACATGATTGCATTTACTGGTAAAGAAATAGACCTAGAAGGGAACAAAAAGCTATGGGTATGGGAAGGGCATAGAGTGGGGGCACTTCCTAATGCTTCCAGATTTCCAGCATAGGGGTCCAAAATTAACTGGCAATGTTGAAAGCTTGGTGAATTTCCCACTTTATGAAGCTTGTGATATTGACTCTTTTAGATCTTAGAGAATTTCAATTGGACTTGATAAACAGAACCCAGGGGAAATGGAGAAGTTTGTGATGAGGGTGACCTACAAATTGCATTTTCCCATGTAGTTACAGCAATGTGGTAAATTGGGAATTTCCCAGACTTAGAGGTTCAGAGTCTCTGACCTGTTTTCCTTTTTGAAAATGAGTAATTTGTGTTACTGATGTAATTAAAATTTTACCATTGCCATAACCTGCAAATGGATAGGATTTAATATGCAAATAGCAAATACTTTAGGCATTTAAAAATTGTAGTTTATGTGAACAGTTTAATATATTGGGATACATGATTTAAGAAGCTAGCTTCAATAGTAGTTATAGGTGACCCAGTTTTCATATGAACCCCATCCCTACATGAGTTCCCCACCCCCAGAGGGCTGTCCTATGAAATATTACCAGTTTTCTGGTCTCTTATGCCTGGACATAGCCTCCCATACTCCTAGGCTTCATTTTAAAGAATTTCATTTTTAATGTTTTGTTGTTGTTGTTCATTTGTTTGGTTTTTGCCTTGGAGATATGGGAAATGAGGTTCAGGTTATGAAATTATGTTTACTGTCTCATGTATTTTCATACTATTAATAAATGTTAAAAAGTTAGTGAAAAGATAAACTTTTCATAGGATTCAGCTTGGTGGTTGTGGGGAGGCAGCTTATAGTGGATTTGTTAGGATTGCCTTGCCCTTAAGTACTGGCTCTAAGATCCCAGGCTTACTTTCTTGGGACCAAACAATTTTCTAGATTTGCTTAGCCCTGGGGCAGAATCTGATATTGTTATGGAAGAAGGAAGTGATGACAATGACAGTGAGCGGAACAGCGGACTCATGGATGACATGGATGAGGCCATGGTCCAGGATGCTGAGATGGCTATGGCAGAGGGCCAGGGTGATGGTACGGATATGCAGGATCCAGACGCAGACCAGGAGGACTCCAACAGGACCATCAGGTCAGAGCCCCAATAGGATGCAAGTGGTTTTACTCCTAGAGACTCTTAGATATTTCAGTATAAAAGAAGCTTGAAGTGTGCCTCACTTCCTTATGTAGAGCCCAGAAAAGACATTGCATCAGTCCTGACGTTATTCATCTGTTGACCTATTCCTTCGTGTGTGAGGAATACACGTATTTGCTGTGGTCACTATTAAGTTAATAGTTAATACTAAGAGTTCACTGTGTGGAAATGCAATAATCAGGGGTCCAATCTCAGCAGAAATTACTTACTTTAAAATTGACGCCTATTATGAACTATCACGCTCTGTGCACCTCATTGTTCTTCATTTTATTTAAGAAATATGTATAATTTTCTATCTATTATCTACTTTATCTATTTTAGCCCTGGGTTATCTTCAAATTTTTTTTTATTATTTTTATTTTATATATCCATCCAAGTTCCCTCTCCCTTTCTTTCTCTCTCCCTCCCTCTTTTCCTCTCTTCCCCCCTCACATGCACCCCAACCACCCTCCCCTCCCATCCCCCCCACTCCACATGTAGGGTGTTATTTGTAGTCAGTCCATCATGGAAACCAGGCCAAAGGGAACTGCTGCCCGCTTTGTTATTGAATCTTATTGCAATCATGCCCATTCATGCTGTCTGTGTCAACCATTCCTGTTTAAGCTGTTGTGGCTATTTCCATGCTACAGTGGTTAAATCGTAAACTCTGCAAAATTTTAAGCCCTTCACCACCTGACCCTTTACAGGAAAAGTTTCCCACTTGATTGGCATTACAAACCATACTGACACCTTTCTATCCATTTTACCAATGCAAAATTTAATAATACATTGAAACTAACTATGATTGTGCAAGAATATATTTTATGTCTTCCATTTACTGGAATAATAAGCATTCTTTCAGTAGTGAAAACTATTAGTCTTATGAGCTGGCTTCACTTTGAAGAGCATACGTTTCTCCTGTGTCTGCGAATTTGAGGGAAATAGAGAAAGAAGAAGGAGGTAGGGAGAAAAAAATCCATAAAGAGATAAGAGTCATTTAGAAGGGAAGAAAAGTGAAGGATGACAATAATCCCATGAATACTAGCTGCATAAAAGGTAACTCAAATGGGAAAGTGTTTTTTTTTTTTTTTTTTTAAGAAATCACCCAGACACAGTTCATGCAGAAATACTATATCATAATACCATAGCACATAATTTATAAATTGATATTATCATGCCTGCTACAGATAATAAACTATCCCCTGTGATTTTCAATACTATGGCTTCCTAACACTGACAGTAAACTCTGCTATTTTCTTAAAACTCTGAACACCAACCAGATGAGTGGGGGAAAACCCAGGTGCTTCTTACTCTGCCTAGGGAGTTGTAAAGTGAACATCTGAAGTGCCTGTCACTCTTTTGAGGAACTCACTTTCTGAACCATCAACCCCCTGACAGCACATTTCACTGAAAATGAGATGTGGATTCGTTGGTTTCTGCTTTGAAATAGTTGAAATGAGCTTTTATTCACAAAAAGAAGATCTAAATGTGAAAATATGTCTCTCCTAATGTATTTTGATGTTTCAAGCCCTTCCACAAGCAACAACATCCCCCTCATGCGCGTAGTGCAGTCTGTCAAGCACACAAAGCGGAGAAGCAGCACGGTGATGAAGGAAGGATGGATGGTCCATTATACCAGCAAGGACACACTGGTAAGGAGACAGAAGCTCCCCCATGACATGGCTGTCTAAGAGGACTGTGGAATATGAGTTCTTGGGAGTAGACCTCATAGCAGAGGGATGGAGTCAGCAGAACACATTGTATCTGGATGTTTGATGTAGGCGAATAAGTAATGGGGTTAAAGTTAAAAGCATGCAAAATAATTACAGCAAAGAAAAAACTGCAGACACCTGGAATGACTACCTGATTTTCTAGAGCAGCCATGAAAGTGTATTTTCTATATGCCAGGGTCTTGAACTGTATTTTAGGGAAAGAGAGAACAGTGGTGGCTGTTGTATAATCTCAAGACTTAAATTCTATGTTTAAATATTCTGCCACTCAGGTGTGTGATAGCCCTATAGTCTGTTTCTCTTAGTATAAGTCAGATCCTAATAGCTTAGTAATAAATTTGTGTATGTGAGTAGAAGATGGCATCCTTGAACCATGGTTCAGTATTTAATTAAAGCCTTTCATTTTACTTTCCTCATCTCTACCCATCAATAGGACTTCCTTAGATAAAGAGGCATGTGTGCCTTCATTGATCATTTATAACTTAAACCTTCTTCTGGGAGAGAATATACTCAATGTGTCTCTGGTCTATGAGTGGCTGTGAAAGACACCAAAAATAATGTTAAAGCTTCAGTTCTAAAAAGATGTGAGTGCATACAGGTCCACATAGGCTAGGTGCTGAGAGAGGAGAGATGCCATTACTAAGTCACAGCCATGAGCTCAAGAGTCAGCTGAAGAGAATGTGCAGTGTCATGTGCCTTTCCCTACCTTTGTTAATTTGGAATCATGAGTTCAAACCTTTCATCAAATGAAATTTTTTTAGTGACATAGCATCCAGAGTTCTATTAGAGGTGAAAATACCTAGCTGAATCCTCAGGATCTGTCATGTTCTAAAAGATATGCACATACAAACCTACCTGCCACTTTTATTGTAAACTGTCTTATTGTAAACTACAAAATCACCTTTAGTTCTTTAAGCAAATAAATGTTCAAAACAAATTTTTGCCATTCATTATACACATATGAAGTGCCAAGTATCTCTCAGGATGCTAATCCATTGTCGCTAGTACAGTTCACTGCCTCAATAGGTACAGAAACCTGTCACATTATGTTGGATAAATAGCTTCTGGAGTTCAATTGTGAGTCTTGTTGGTCTAATGCCCTTATAATTTTCACTGTCAAATCTATGTTATCACTGGGAAGATGTGCTTGTTTTATTTTAAAGCTTTGTAACTTCCATTTCAGCGGAAAAGGCATTACTGGAGATTGGACAGCAAGTGCATCACGCTCTTCCAAAATGACACGGGAAGCCGGTACTATAAGGTGGGACTGGCTGGCTTCTTTCCCTGTTGCTCATGCTCCCCCTTGCCTTTTTCTGGGAGTGAAGGGAACCAGGAATGTTGTCCACACCCAACTGTGTGACCCTTCCTGGGCTCTTTCTAAGGGAGCTCTTCTGTGCTACAGATGGGGATCAGGATCTAACCTCTTCATTCATCAGTGAAGGTCACAATATCCTGCAGTGTGTTTCTGGCGGGGAGGGGGGAGGGTTGGGGAAAAGCAGGATAATGGAGAGGAAACTGGAGGGGAAGCTAAGTGGAGTAGTTTAGCACAGTAGGTGGTCACAGCCACAGACTAAGAGTGAGTTCTGAGATCCTCAGGAACCTAGCACATCTCTGGAGATTAACAACTAGAACTATTCCTCACAACTGCCAGCATTTACAAGGATCAGTTTCCTCCATTTATTCTGCAGCAGTTGTCTGTCATTCTATTTAAATAATGCACATGAGGATTCTAGCTAAGTTCCTTTGATTCTTCATGCTACCTTACACAGCTGTGATGCAAAAGGAAGCATTATTACATTTTTAATAAGAAAAAAGAAAAATAAAATTATTATCTTACTTGCTTCATGCTTTCTGTAGCACAGTATGGCACCTAATTTTTTCAATTAGGGGTTGAGGGAGATGGATCATAGAGTAAACTACTTACCACATAAGCCAGAGGATCTGACTGACTCCTCAGCATCCACACTTAATATATTCAGGTATGGTTCAAATGTCTTTATGCCTAATGTTGGGTTGTAGAGACAGGTGGACTCCTAAATTCATTCAGTAATATCTGAGTTTAGTGAGAGACCCTTCTCAAAAGGTGGTTGGGTTAGAATGATCCAGGCACACATAACTTAAAAGCAAAACTACTTTACCTATTTAGCTATATTATTTTAGCATATATTGAATCAAGACATATTTGACTGAACATTTAAAATAAAAAGAGCGAGCCAGGCTTTGGTAGCACACACCTTTAATCCCAACACTTGGGAGGCAGAGTCAGGTAGATCTCTGTGAGTTAGAAGCCAGCCTGGTCTACAGAGCTAGTTCCATGACGACCTCCAAAGCAATACAGAGAAAACCTGCCTAGAAAAACAAAACAAAGAAAAAAATTTAAAAAATAGAAAACAGACATGAATACCCAAATTCATTTTAAAAATGTACAATTTGCCTAATTGTTTTGTTAGACTCTTCTACCTTCCCCCTAAACATTGTTTAATAACAAAACAAACAAACAAAAAACACCTTGAAATATCTGGGAAATTATGGAAAACCCTCTTGTTACAATAAAAACTTAAAGTTTATGTATGATGTATATGCTATAAAATATTTGAAGTAAATTTTTAATTCCTTTCTTTACATGGCATAGATTTTATTAGTTGAGTGTATGCTGTATATATTATAAAGTACTTTCTGTAAATTGTGTCTGCTTGTAATTCCCTTCCTGAAATAGTGTAGATTTTATTTAATAGTTGTCATGCTTTTGATAAACTGAGTCACCATATTTTGTCTTCCACAGGAAATTCCTTTATCTGAAATTTTATGTCTGGAACCCGCAAAACCTTCAGCATTAATTCCCCTTGGAGCTAATCCCCACTGTTTTGAAATCACTACAGCAAATGTAGTGTACTACGTGGGAGAAAATGTGGTCACTCCTTCAAGCCCCCCACCAAACAACAGTGTTTTCACCAGCGGCATTGGTGCAGACGTGGCCAGAATGTGGGAGGTGGCCATTCAGCATGCTCTCATGCCTGTCATCCCCAAGGGTTCCTCCATGGGCTCAGGAACCAATTTACATAGTAAGTCCAGTGGTGTTTATCTGACATGGCACGCACTCAGGGTCCCAATAGGCCAGTCACAGATTTTTGCTTTCCCCGATGAGACAATGAAGAAGAGTCCTTATGTTGGCTTCAGTTTGTGGGAGAATGTGGAAATCTCTGGAAAGAAGCTGCTATGCTTACTAAAATACTTCATTCATTCAATTAGTGTATTTATTTTATCTTAGAACTTTTACAGATTCAAGTATATTAAACACGCACAGGTGTCCAGAGCTATTGTTCTTCAAAGAATCCATCCAGTCAGTTTGAGTTTCACTTGAATACTACAGATATGAAAAAAAGAAAACGATTCTATTTTCCCCAAATCACCTCTCATCCTTCTCTACTTGGGGCCTAATAATATAAATATCATTGTTACATTTAATCACTTTATTCCAGATAGAAGCTTCGGTGCATTAGTAAAGGAGATGCTGCTAGAGTAAAGTCAAAATGAAATATTAAAGTTGAACTAAAAAAAAAAAAAAGAAATAGAAGAATAACTCCATCATATGTATTGATCATGCAGCCTGCAGATTAACCTGTTTTAAGATTTAGCATATCTGATGTGTTCTTTTTATCATTTTCTCCTTCAACCAGTGTATTGTTAAGACTATATGTAGTTATTCTGAATATAAAGAATATATCTGTACGTAAGCCAAGCAAGCACTTCAAAAGAGCACTCTATTTTAATGCCTAGAACTCCATCAAATAATGATTTGCCTATGTTCTAAGAGAAACAATTTCTAGAAAATTGGTTGTCTATAAGCTCATACTAGAGTTGCAGTGTGGCAAAGTCAGAAATGGAACCCAAGTCTTTTTTAATCTGAGCTCTATGCTGACAAATACATTTTTAAAAACCAAGTATAGACTGAGTTTATAATTTTAAGGGGAATAATATGTTCTAATGGAACTTTGGCAGAAATATCTTTTGCTGTGGTTAATGTAAAAGCAGTCCACTGGGATGACTGATACTCACTCTTTTTTTTTTTTTTTCATACACTTCATCTACTTTATGTTTGTTTTTAAACATGAATTTCCAGAAGATATTTCTGTGAGCATTTCAGTTTCAAATTGCCAGATTCAGGAAAATGTGGTGAGTCTGTGTCTATTAATATGTTTCTCACAATACCATGTGATTGACTTTTACTTATCTAACATTTTATATATCCAGTATTTCTAAAGAATAGTGTTTGTTGTATATAGTGTTGCATGATATTTTATGAACATCTCATTGTTTGTTTACTGATTATTCTAGATTCCATAATACACTACAAAGTCTGTTTGTTGTAACAGAAAATAATAGTGTGATACAGGATTTTTCACATTTATCCTTTCTTTATACGAAAATAGAACAACTTGATTTATCAAGAATACTACTAGACAGTGGCAGGCTTGGTAACTGTAGTGCCCCTGACCTAACTTGAATATTCGTGGTTGATATTGTACAGTAATATAGTTATACAAGTAAAATAAAAATAATATTTGTACAAGTTCTTAAACATGCCATTGCTTACTTCTTTGCTAACAAGGAGTGGTAATAAATGACAAGGGTTGCAAATGTTCTTAGTCACATATACATGCCACAATGTAGACCTCAAGAAAGCTGCAGAAACCTAACATGAACTTTTCAGGCTTTGGAAGTTACAGATCTTGTAGTAAGATGTTTTACGTGCTGTTGCATTTGCTTGATTTCACTTCTACAGTCAGTACCCAAAATGGGCAAAGGCCTTTCCTACCTCATTCCTGTGACCAACAACATTAACTGTTTGTTCACTTTACCTAAGACCCAAACAGAGCAGTTTACCATCCTGCTTACAATGACCTGGAATTGTTTATCAAAGAATATATTCCACGGATTGGATATCTTTTCAGTACTACTCTTATCCCTGAAATCCTTGTTAAACTATTTTCAACTGAACATAAGCAACGATGCATTACATGAGAGAATTTTATAGTGAAGGTTAAATATATGCTTGGGACATTCATCCTAGGATGCCCATCTCAAGCCAGCAGGTTCCTGCTTTGTTGCTTCTACTTAAACAGAAAAGACAGTGGAAGATTCAGGTTACTCTGAAAACAACAGAGGCATTTTGCCATGGTCAGCCATTGTTGTCCACTGAAAGTTTTAAACTGAATTTTGAAGAGTTCATTTGTTAACCCTTGGAATAGCTTGGTTTCACTGGGGAAAAGAGAAGGACAGGGGGTAGGTGTGGATAAGATTACTGAGTGGAGAATGTGACTGAATTTTTTTTTTTTTAAGAATCAACAGTAGAAGAATTTAAAATAGCCAGAAAATGTGTTAGGATGTACAGTACCAGGTTAATAATATGTAAAAGTTTTGTGCTATTTCCCTGATGATGCTTACCAAATGTCAGAATATGAAGCCCATATTAGCTCATTCATAATTCAGCAATTATTATATCACAAGTAAATACTGAATGGGTTATCTACATAGCAATTAGAAATTCTGAAATAGTTGTCTATAGCTTAGGTTCTTGTAGAAAACAAGAACCCACCAGGAGTAGCCTCAGTTTTCTGCATAGAGTGTGAAGCAAGCTAATTATAGACATGTGATGGGGTCTCAGAATAGTTAGTGAAATTTTTAGGTTGCTAATGCAGAAAGAATATCTCTACTTTCAGGTACTTATCATAAATGCCATTGATTGATTTTAGGTCCTATTTCTCTCTGTTAATATGTGCTGTATCCCAAGCACTTAAGAGCAGAATAGTTTTCAAAATATTATATTAATACTAATGTAATTTGAATATTATAATCATTAAAATTTTATCCAGCATTTACAAGTATGAAGTGACCTTTGGAATATTTAATTATATTTATATTAAATAAGGTAATAATACTTATGATTGTAAAATGTCATAGGATTAAAGCTTGTTTCCTCAGCTTTGTTTTTCTCTGGGTGTGTACCTATAGGACATCAGTACCATCTATCAGATTTTTCCTGATGAAGTTTTGGGTTCTGGACAGTTTGGAATTGTTTATGGAGGTGAGTTAGTTCAATAGGTGTTTTCATGCGTATAAAAATATTATGTTACCAAGAAAATTACAAACAGGGAAAGACATGTATCTGTGTGCCTAGGAGTCACTTTAGGAGAATCTTCTCCTGGCATAGCTATTCTTTGAAAAACTGATAAATCTTGAAAGACTTTCTCTAGACGTAAGTTTCTATCCCACCTGGTCTTGCAGCCATTTATTCACAAATAAACACACAGAGACTTATATTAATTACAAATTGTTTAGCCTATTACTCAGGCTTATTAGTAACAAACTCTTGCAACTTAAGTTAACCTATAATTCTTATCTATGTTTAGCAAAGTGGCCTCATAACTTTTCTCAGTATGGCATTCTTATCTTGCTTTCTCTGCATGTGTCTGTGTCTCTGCCTTTCCTCTTCCCAGTAGTCTCTTAATCTGATAGCCTGGCTAATGGCCAATCAGTATTTTACTAAATCAACCTGAGTGAAAAATCTTCACAGTGTACAAGAATATTGTCTCACATCACTTTTCTTTTCCTAAAAAACTTTTAGTTATTGTTGTCGTTGTTGTTACGTATGTGCAGTATTGAAGCAGTTTGATTTACTTATTTAGTCAAAACATTGAAGAAATATGTAGGCTCCAATTTATAAACAAAGAAGTTCCATTTCTCTCAGCCTCTTGGTTTAGACTCTTACAGATACTATTTGTCACCAAAGCCTAAATCTTTGATCTCTAATGTTTTCCACACTATATCCAATTCATAGAATCTGAATTTTTGGTTTTCACGGGGCAATTCTGGGTTGTTCAGTTAGGTCCTAGACATTTTAGTTGTATTTTTTTATGCCTTTAACTTATTATTTGTTAAGTTATACCTACTATAGAAAATGATACCTTAGCCTTTCTTATTTTGATAAATAGTATTTTCTGTGAGTTTGTTTTATAAAATAATCCTGTCTAACACTTTTGCTTATTATGTACTTTTTTATGAGAAATCAAAATATAGAATTTATAATATGAAAATTTAAGTTGTTCTAATTTTCAAAGTAATTTTAATATTTATAAAAATACTGCATTTTTTTAAATGAAAACCTAATGACTAGTAACCAGTCTTAATATGCAGAGTCCAAAGTTATTATTGTACAATGTACTAATTACATAATAAAAATAATGGTCGATTGATTGTAGTAAATATATGTCACAGCTTATAGTGTGACAATGAATCGCATGTGATAAGGTGAGAGATCAGCAAACTCAAGAGAGTTTGGAACACTGGACACTGAAGGTCCTGAAACACTGTGTTAACGGGGGTAGAGATCCACAAGGAAGAATGAAAACATGAAGAGTAGACATACAGGAGATGGAGGCCACGAGGATAGAATCTCAGAGGTTAGTGGTTTCCATGAAGACAGGAAGTGGAGCTACAGGAAGCATTGGCTGTGCAGGGAGATGCTGCTGTAAGTGGATGAGTTGAAGTAGAGTCTGTAAGAATCAAGACATAGGAACTGGTGTTCAAGAAAGTGAGACGCAAAAGCATGGCAGTACAGTGATGAAGGGATGCCATCTGGAAGGAACCAGTAAGGATAATGGGATAATGGGAGCATGATGCAAGAAAAAAAGTTGTTGAACTAACAGAGGTTCAAGGTAATCTATATGGCCAAAACTTTTCATTAATTATGCCTGCTAATTTTCCAAATAATTAATTTTTAATGTTTCTCGTTTTTACTTTAAAGGTAAACATCGTAAAACAGGAAGAGATGTAGCTATTAAAATTATTGACAAATTAAGATTTCCAACAAAACAAGAAAGTCAGCTTCGTAATGAGGTTGCAATTTTACAGGTAAACATTTTGATTCTCTTGAGAGTTGCAAATTCTCCTCCTTGACTTTGGTAGAACAATAAAATACTATCCATTATCTACAGCCTAGGTAATTAAGAACAATTTAACTGGAAAGGCAAATTGAGTCAGACTTGCCTGAATGGTTCTTCTCTACCTACTTAATACCACAGTTTAAAATGTCAATAATATTCATTAAATATGAATATTCTCAAGGATGGACATACTGAGAGCTATTTGTCATAGGTTAAAAATGACCTTACCTTACCTTCATAAACACTTCTCTTTCTGTGAACTGAATTTGTAGCTCTGATCATAAGAGGTGTGTAAGAGCTGTCTGAGAAAGACATTATCTTGGTTTTCCTTATGTCTTTCCTGGTTTTCCAGGTGTGTTTTTATTTGATGTGGAAAATGACACAACTCTCCTTTACAACAATACCCTGTAACACCAAAATATTTTATATAAGTTATTTTGTGTATAATAGTTAGACTGGCTTTTGGTTATCAAAGGGAAATTGAATAGCTGCTTATTAACTGGTCAACATAGCTGTTTATATTCTTGACAAGTACATGTTTTCATATAACTGCCATAAATCCTACTTCTGCAAATTAGTCCTAATTTTTGATTCACAGTTTTGTTGACGTGTTTAATTATATATCAATAACCAAGCAGTTTACTGCTCTGCATTTCTGTTTTGTTTGATTGTAAATATAACAGATTTGATTTTAGCCAGCTTGATAGTGTGAGCCTATTATTTCAATATAGTTTAAGGCAGTAGAATTACTAGTTGGAAATCAACTTGGATTACATAACAAGATTTAGTAAGAGAAAAGGTATGGAGAGCATGGGAAAGAAGGTAAAGAAGATAATGACAACCAAAAATTTAGGCCTTTTTATATAGAAAAAAATGACATAATTTTATGTTTCTCAGAATTTCCTAAACTGGTGTTTAGTGTCTTTTGGGCAACAGGTTAGCACAGGAATCTATTCACAGGCATACCCTTAACCACGATTACATGCCAGTTCCTGTTTTCATATCTCAGCACTTGCTAGTGTGTAACCAGAAAAAAATCCCTTTTAATTGTTGAGGCTAAGGAAATAGCTGAGTGGATAAAGTTCTTGCCACACAAGCATGAGGACTGGAGTTTAGTACATCAGCCCCAACAATAAAAAGCTGGAAATAAAGGAGGTGTGTTCTGTAGTCCTGGTCACTCAGACTAGCTAGTCACTGAGCTCCAATACTGTGATAGGTATTAAAATATTATAGATATTTTGTAATATCTACATAGTTAATCAATGAGGTCTTTGCAAGTGTGGCCCATCCTTCAGTTCCTACTCTGATACAGTCTTTTGGGGCATATTCTTTTACAAAGACAGACTTTCCAGATGTGGAGTGGGTACCTTCCCATTTCTGGAAGCCAGAGCCCTGGCTTATGCTGTACCTGGAGTCTTAGAAGTGCTCAGGGGTCTACAGGAGATTGGGTTGTAGTGCTGAGTGAAGAAAATTATCCCTTGGGTAGCTCTGCTAAACACTCCTTGTGGAGATTGTCTCTGACTCTGTGAAGTAGTATGTTAGTTTACAGATGGCCTCTTCAAAATTGGGAAAATATTGTATGAGAAAAGGGAGAATTCATTTTTTTTCCCTATCCATATTTTCTGTGTAGATGAAGGAATTCCATGAACATATTCAATCATTGGAACATTATACCCTTTAGCTATTTCTGAGTAATAGGAGGTAAGGGGTAACAGATCATTTATATCTATTTTCATTACCTGTAAATACTTCATAATTATGATATATCAGGAAAAATGTTAATGAATATAGAGTTTAAAGCTACTGCATAATATTCCCAAGGGACACATTCTTGTCATTTTGACTTATTTTCATGTCAACACAATTAGAATTAAAAAATGGTTGTTTGCTATTTTCAGGGATATTAAAGAAAACTGGATACAAATATCTTTATCATAGAATGCTTTAAATTCAAAATCTAATATAAATATGAATGGTGTAGTATACTAAATGAAATATAAATCCTCTTCTAATACTTGTTGGGTCAAGATGAAATGTATGTGCTAGTGTAACCTTATCACAGTACACACAAAGTTTACCTAATATATCCAAATATAATCTACTCATTATACCAGTTTTTGCTTTCCTTAAAGTATACCTCTTGTTTACCCATAGAAAGAATAATACTAGAGTTTCCTTTGATAATACAATATGAGACAAAAACATTTGGAATTATAAAACATCAAATATAGTGTGCACAGTAGAGTATATGAAATATAGGAAAAATGCATAAGCTCTTTTGTCAATACACTGATATCCAAACCTTGGTTTTATAACAATAAGCAGATGACCCTCTGTCTATTTCTGTGACTTCTTATCTATCTATCTATCACTCTTTGTACTTTCAGACTTGATTAACTTAGTCCTTCCATAGAACTGATCAGTTATTCCTTTTTCAAATCTCCTTGCTTCCTGCACCCTGCACTTAGCAAATTCCATCTCTCCTTGTCTTTCTCTTAGTGGCCTTCCTGGCTTCATTCCTCCACCAATCTATGTGTCTTAGACAGATGTATATTAATTCCCAGAGCATAGATCACCTATTATGTAATAGCCATCCGTCATCCCTTCACAGTCCCTCTATGATACTTGAGGCTTCTTAAATTCTTTAGTCTCAATTTACTGTCCTCAGGGCATCTCCACTAAATTGTGCCACTCTTACCCCCAAATCAACCCAAAAACAAAGAGCAAATCCTGACATAATTTGTTTTATTCTTACATGGCTCTTATCTTTCACTAATGAAACTGTTGTTATTCACATATTGCTTTAAGAAAACAAAGGCAGGTTTTCTGGACCACATAGAAATCAACAAAACCTTTGAAGTTGTTTATAGTCTATTTGGGTTGTCAGGTATAATGGTCCAAAACTCAGAAATGCTAAGAAACTATACTGAAAGAAATCCTAGTTCCTGACTCCAATCTGGAAATCAGGAATACTACAAAAGGAGTTGTAACATTGGTGAAATCAATGAAAGTTTTATCTGATAAGCAATATATGAGAGAAAGGGACAGTAGGCTGAGAAGCCATCTCAGCAAAGAAACAATTCTCCCAAAATGAATAGGAAAGTTAGAATCATTTAGAAATTTAAGAGTGAAATTCAAGGGGTTTTCATCATACAAATCCAAGCACAAATCTGGTAATGGCATGGAGAAGAGAGAGGCATAGCTGATACTTCCAGAGCTTTCTTGCATTGACTTTTTTAAAAATTACATATATGTTTATACATATATACTCGAAAAATATATGAACACACCCTGTGCAGTCTGTATAATATATAATATTATGTATTGCCTGTATGTCTGTTTTCTGGGCTGACATTTTGGTGTTGGTAGGCTCTGCCCTGGAGAAGACTATCTCCCACCCTTAGCATTTCTTAATTGCCTGTAGTTCTTTGCATGGGGTTAAGATCTCTTATTTTCCTCTCTCCATGTTAACTTGAAAAATTACTTTCAGTCACTGGAGTCATTGATATTGACTTTCAAATATTACATCACTTGTCGAAATTCCACTAGAAACTCTGGCCTTAGTATCTTTAAGATACAGAGTATGTGAAATTTGCCTTTAAGTTCTGTTGCTGGAAACCAGTCTGCCTAATCCCCCAAATTACAATACCAAATCTTTCAGATACTAACTATGACCATAGTTCTAAGAATGAACCCAGATGGCGGGTTAAAATCTAGGTCATATTGGTTGTGTAGACAGATTGAGATTTTTAAAAACTCTGTTTTAAATTTTTATTGTAAGAGTGAGTTTTACTTGTAAATGTTCATGTATATATACACATGTACACTCATCCAGAAGTTGACATTGGTGTCTTCATTCGTGTCCACTCTTTTGAGATCAGGTCCATCACTGAACTTTCTACCTTCACTTCATGGCACTGAGATTGTAGTTAGTTTTCTATCTCTGCACCTACCTTTTGCCTGGGTACTGGGTATCAAATTAATATCCTCTTGCTTGTGGCCAACTGAGCCATCTCTCCAGTTTGAACACAATACACATTTTGGGATCTTATTTTCTTTGGGGTAAGGTTATAGTTTTAAATAAACAGAATACCAAGAGTAAGCTGCAGAGATTTTTCCATAAACACTTGAAAAGCCACTCATCTCTCAATACCCACAACAGAATGAAGCATTTGTTATAGTTGATGTATTGGTGTATCATGATCACCCAGAACAATAGTTTGTATTAAGTTCACTCTGTATGGTACTTCTGCGGATTTGAACAAATAATATTCTCTATGTTTGTCCTATTCATTGCTCACTCTTTTCCAGCCTTTTACTACTTTGAAAATTCTCATGTGTCTATACTTTTTTCTTAATTAAAATGCCCTGCAAATAGAATAACAAATAGAATATAGCCCCCTGATTACCTTATTGCACTCAGGCATGATAGATAGGTAGGGAGGGATGGAGGGAGATAGATAGGTAGATAGATAGATAGATAGATAGATAGAGTTTTTTGTCTTAATAACTTATTTTCTAGGGTAGAATAATATTCCATTATCTGGATATACAAAAAGTTATTCATGTACCTGCTGAAAGACAACTTGACCCCAAGTTTTGGCTATTATGAGTAAAGCTGTTTTAAAAACCAATGTAGGGGTTTTAGCATGGCTCTTTTGAATTCCTATGAGTAAATATCGAAGTACATAATTGTTAGATCATGCAGTTAGTTTTACATGCATGTTAGTTTTACAAGAGGCTGCTGCACTATCTTCCATGGTGGTAGGACCAGCTTGCATTCTCACATCTTTGAACAAGAGCGCTACAGCTTCCCTGCCTCATCAGAATTTGCTGTTACTGACGTCCAGGTGTCTGCAGTTCTAATAGGGGTGTACTGATATGTTGTTTAGTTTAACTTTCCTTGGTGATAGTTGATGTAGAGCTTCTTTTAATACAGATTTTTCTGTCTGTATATTTTGTGAGATG